GGATTTGACAATAGAAGGAAAAAATGTGAGACAAATCCATTACAAATCTATGATAAAAAATCAACTAAACAAACAATGTACTCTTCCAAATCCATGATGCAACAAATCCATCATAAATCCAAAGGTTTTTAAAACTCAAAACCCTCATTTTCAAATCCAACAAGCAAATGAGCCGTAAATGTAAATCTGCACAAACATTCAAGTAAACATTCTTAAGTTCCTAAGCCTAACAATTAACAACTTCGAGGTTCTTGTGACAAGAGAAGATGATTTGAATTTATACCTGGCTCGAAAGATGCAAATGGATCAGTCTTCCTGCCAAATGGTGATTTCAAGAACACCATTTAAGGACCTGAAAAACAGGTTGTGAATCATTATGTCGAGCCTCAAATCTCAATGAACATATTTAGAAAATTTAGAAAAGGAGAAGTGTTTTTCGTACCCCTAGGTTCTACCTCCACCACAGTCGTATCGTCGACTGACAGGGTTGAGAAGACTCCCTCCAATGCCTCCACAGCAGCAGCAGCCTCCGAATCTTCAAATAGAAATGAAAAATAATTATTTACACTTAAACAAAATTACTTGTACCAGAATTTGGAGGTTTAGTTGCATGTTACCTCTTCTATATCTTCCATTATCCAGCTTCGTGTGCACATCATTGATTCAACAGTCGAGTAATGAAGCCTGCTCCGGTGAGGGTCTAACAACCTCCCACCAGAACTTAATGCACTTTCAGAAGCAACATATGTAATTGGGATTGCCAAAAAGTCCATTGCAATTGCTTGCAAGGTTGGATACTTGAGACCATTCAGTTTCCACCACAAGAGCAGATCAAAGACTGTTGTCCGAGGAATTATATCCTCAACAAGATACATATCCAACTCAGTAGTAACCAAAGAACTACTCTTGCTCTTTTTCCTTTGACTTACAAAGAGCTCAAAGTCAAGTTCAGTAGCCGAGACAGAACCAGAACTAGCAGAAGAAGTTCCAGTTTCAGACCCAGACTTCCTCTTGGTTTTGGTTTGATAATCAAGAATCAAACCACAAATAATCTTCTTGATATTCTCAGCAACCAAATCAGTTTTCGTATTCCCAAACTTTCCAGCATAGTATTCAATCACATGGAGCTTATATCTAGGATCTAAACGAGACAGCAAGTACAAGATGGATATCATCCCAGTACTTGTCAAACTTCTCAGAAATTTGACTGGCCATTCCAAAAATCACAGGGTTGGGATCAAGACACCACTCATTCAGTTTCAGTCTCAAGTCACAAATCTTGGGGTAGAAAAGATTGGCAGTCGGATACTTGGAACCAGAGAATAACTGAATTATTTCAGAGAATATTTTCAGCTTATCAATCACGACAGATGCAAATTCCCAATGAGAACTAGAAGGAACATATGTGTATTGACTGTCCCTCAAGCTCAACCGAAAGAAAACATCCTTATATTGAAGAGCAACAAAGAGCATATGGTATGTGGAATTCCATCTAGTTGGACAATCAAGTACCAGTTTTTTCTCAAAGGTCAACTTTAGTTGCTTAACAACTTCGAAGAAGGTTTGAACCTTCTTAGGTGTACAATTCTAGTAAACTACACTCTCCCTAAACAAATGTATAGCATCTTTGATTGCATCCAAACCATCCCTCACAATCAGGTTCAGAATATGAGCTGAACACCTCATATGAATCAGTTTACCATCAAGCAATAGATCACTGCTCACAAGCTTATTTCTCATATGAAATATCATTGAATCATTGGTGGTACAGTTATCCAGTGTGATTGAGGACACTACCATCAATGTTCCAATCAAGAAGACAATCAAACAACTTATCAGCTAGTCTTTGACTAGTGTGAGGGGCTGGAACATACATAAACCTCAACATTATGTTACGAAGCTTCCAAGAGTTGTCAATAAAGTGACCAGTTACTGCCATATACCCCATTTTCTTATTTGTGGCAGTCCACAAATCAGTAGTCATTGAAATCCTTCCCAAGTTTCCATCAATCATTGTCTGATATTTAGACCTTCAACCCCAAACAGACCCAAAATATCATTTTTCACCGTGTTTCTACTAGGGACACCAAATTGAGGTTGAAGAGAACAGCAAAAAAGTTTGAAACCCACATGATCAACAAGGCTAAGGGGGTACTCATGGGCCAGAATCTTTGAACAAAGTTCCTTCCTAGAAACCTCATAATTATATTGAGAAGCAAAGAGTTGAGGATTTCCAGCAGGTTGATAGTTAGGGCCAAGTATTTTCTAAGAACCATCATGTATCCTCGTTTGGATACATGTTTTTATATGGCTTCTCAGGTGTGAAGTTCCATTACTTGTTTCTCCACCAAGGGATTTAAGACAGTACTTACACCTAGCCTTCATAACCCCATTAACCCTAACTCGGTTGAAGTGAGGCCACACATTAGAGGTTAACTTACGTTGAGCTTCAAGCTCCTCAACATTACCATTAACTAGATTAATTGCATCATGACCAGTTTGTTCAGGTTGAGGTTGGACACCATTTTAAGATACATTCACATTGGAATTGGGAGCAGGGTCAACATTCATAGCAGTAGGCGCACCTTCCATCTGGACATAAATAAATTTATGTGTTACTAATTAAGCCTTAATTTAACTTAGTTACATTCACAATGACAAGACTAAACTAGCAAACAAACATCTTTTGCAGCAAAATCACGATTACACTTTAATTATTTTTACTTATTAGCATTATGAATCCATAGATTGTCACAACAAGTCGCAGCATTATGAACAAACACAGTGAGTTGATGCTTAGGAGAAGAGAACGGGATTACCTTCTCGGATTGGAGTTTTCTGTGGACTGTCGAGCTAGTACCCAATGACAATGGACTGATCCTCACTGGTCACTGATCAATCACTTTGTTTCGCTTCAATTCTCAAAACTCGATCCAAACGAGTCCAACCTAACCCAAAAAAGAGTGAACAACGGACACAAATCAAGTTAGAACTGGATTTTAATGCATGCATGTCTGTGACACCACTAACCTAGAAAAAGTATAGACGAGATCAAGATCCTTACCCTCGACGACTGGACTCTGTCTGGAGGCTCGGCTAAATCCCTCGGTCTCTGCTCTCTGTGGACTGGGGTGTTCTTGTTCTCGATTTTAGAAGATGGCGTGGTGAGAAACGACCTCTGTTCTCTGAATCCCCCCTATATATACCAGTACAAGAAGAGTCAGTAGAGAGTTTGGGGAATGGGGAATCAGGGAATATACTTGAAACAAAATATAAGAAACCCAGAATTAACTTATCTCTTCTCGAAGAATCAGCGATATGAACTTCCAACGACTCATTTTTGGACTGCACTCGACGAAATCTTCGCCGGATGGTTGCTCTTCCAGCCATGCGATTGGTCGAATGGAGGAATTGATGAAAGGAAAAGGCGAAAAATCGGCCAAATCGCAATTATCTAGCGATCTGATCGCTAATCGCCAGAGAGGAGGCAGAGAGAAAGAAGGAAACTAGGATTTTTTATTTTTGGATCGTTTGGTGAAGAATAAAATTTGAGGCGGCTGCTAGGGTTTCTGGAAGGGAAAGCGAAGTATATATATGGTCCTCCAAACGACGTCGTTTTTGTACACGGATAACCCGTCGGGTGGGTCGCAGGGTGGATACTGGACTAACCACAACCGCCCGAAAATCATGGTTAACGGGTCCCGGGCGGGCTTCGGGCGGGTATCCGCTATTGGGCCCCGGCCTGCCATCCCTATGACCTAGATGTACTGGAGTATCCCACTGACAACAGGTCAAATGGAGAGGCAAGGGATAATCTTTGTTAGTAAGTAATGGATGCAGATAAGATAGGCCTTGTTTGACATGGGCCTTAGTAAAGCCCTCGGCCAGCTGGATAGGTTGTCTATTTTGATAAAAAAAAAATCTGAATTTATTGGCAAGGAAGTAATTCAATCCCCGAACTTTTGGATTTCTGTTAGACCAGTAATAAATAAATAGGTTGACTCGAGGATTGGATACGTAACACCCGTTACTCATTAGAATTTTAAAATAAAAATTAGCTCCCATTAATTGATCTTAATTAAGCCAAAATTGACTCTAATTTGCCCTAAATGTTATCTAAATCCATCCGAATGACTCAAACAGATAAACTCCTAACTTTGATCTCACTTCGTCATCGCTCAGGCCGTGTATACATAAGAATATTCTTGTGTTACTCCATCTCCCTGAAGTTTTGATGTATCTGTGTTTCAAAAACGTGGGGTAGCAGTTAACAGAAATTGATGTACTACTATACTGTGTTTTTTTTATTCTTCTCCATTCTCCTTTAAATATTTTGCCTCCGCCACAGACAGCTCTTTCATGAGCATCCCGTGCGTTCCATTTGGTTGAGTTCCGTTGCAAGTCGTCTGCAGTCTTGTCTTATTTTTCAAGGCACGCCGTCGTGACGATTCCGATGATGGTTTTGTGCCAAAGATTGAAATGCATCCATTTTATTATTAGTATTCTTCCTTCTTCTCTTTCTGGTATCTTGTCTTGTTCGTCATGAAATGAATTCTAAAGGGAACGAAAACCATCAAATACAAGGGTGGTGATGATTGTCTTGGGACAATACTTACCGATACCACAATAGTAAAATAAAAATATGGTGGTCATTCATAATATGCATAATTCAAGGTATGCACCCAAACCTAATGTAAACCAAAATTGAGCCCATCAACATTGACGGAGAGGTAATTCGAGATTTTTTTTTTTTTTTTTTTGTGAGAACAGGACACTAAGAGCGTCCTAACTTTACCTCAAGATTAAGTTCGAGGATGAAAATGTAATTGGAAGGTATTTTTCCCTGCGTGGATATTCGAGAACTTATTGATCCAATTGATGGAAGTGGAAGAAAAGACAATTTCCTTTCCTCCATATAATTTTGTAACTTCTTAACATTGCGTGACCATTTTATTACTGGCCCGAACTTTAGGAGTATCTTCTGTGATTTTGTCAATCACGCAGCAGTGAATTGAGACTTGTTTTAACAAAAATGGCAGTGCAGTTTGAATGTTTTGATTCTTTTAGTAGTCTTCTCAATGAATATATGCAACTGGGATCGCTATAACAACATTTATCCACAAGCCAAATACCGCGAATGTACAGATGAACTGTGTGGACTGGTGACAATGAATCGAAAACCTCAACTGTACACACAAATGGAGGGGTCGAGGAGGATGTTGGGCACAATATCAGATGTTATTTCTTATTACCAGTTAGCTATTCATCTCAAGGGTTCCTGAGAGCTGCCAACCTCTTCTCGAGCTCGTCAATCCCGGAGCTACTACTGCACCAACCCAGACACGGGTGATAATCACATCATGTCACATAAAATTTAAGAAACTAAGGGCTACTAACTTCAGTTACTGAATTCGATTTGTCTAAAAACCAGTGAGAAATGTGAGTACCTGGCGACATCCTCTTTCTTCCCTGCAATCTTCTGTTTTGGTGCTGATGATAACTGCATAGAATCCGACAATTGGATGTCAGATACATGGAGCATAAAAAGGATACGAATTGTTCTAGTTAGACCACAAACTAAAGTAGCACAGAGTCGATTTACAGCAGATACCGACCTGTGAAGCGACATCTACACCAATTTCATCCAGCACCTGCCAAAAAATGTTCCAAGGAATGTGAGAAGTTGAAGTACATGAACTGATACGAAAACAATGGATAGAACAAACTGCACCGTGCCAGAACTGAAATTTACCTGATTTGTCAAGTCTTCACTCTCCTCTTCAGCCTCGTCATCATCAAGTACCTCATCTATGGTGTCTGACATCATCTCGGTCTACATTTAAATATTCCAAGGCAATGAGTGCCAAAAGATTTGGAAGGGGGAAAACAAAAAAGGCAAGGTATAGATGATTCGAATCTCATTGCTGCAAGTATTGTGATATAGAGAATGGACTTACAGTCATATCCATTTGTGCTGACTGTTTCTGGAATTCCATCATAACCTTCGCATGCTTTGCAGGATCCATTTGCTAACGAATACAGAGATAACCCATAAGTCGCTTATTATGTGGTTATTGCCAAAAGTACTGATGAGCTATAGCTATAGACGTTTGATCTACAGAACCAAGTGAAGAAACACATCTGCTTCTCTTAACACTCCAATGTCTTGCCCAGCAGAGAAAAACTCCAAACCAGAACCATATTACAGATTGAACACATCTATTAACACCTATTAAGAAACTACTTTCGACCCAAGTAGAACAAACCTTATTCATAGACGCCATTGCCTTAGTAGCACCTTTCAAGCCAGTGGCAACTGAAGATTGAGCATGCAGTGCCTGCAACATCGGCAAAATGTTAGTTGAAGAGTAAATTTCAGCTGCTCTACTCTCTCAGGCATGTGCGACCACAATAACCTGACATCATACCTGTGTATGCGTTGCAATGCCTCTCATTTGAGCTCGACTACCTTGTAAATTTGCTATTTGCTGCCTAAGCCTGACTAGTTGACGGGCCAAGATCTTGGTTGCAGACTGCAAAAGCAAAATTAAAAATAGTGAAGAAAAATTGGATGACATAAGAGCCAACATTGATCAAGGATGAGAAGATTCTGGCTTCGGAAGACACAGGGTTCACTTGGCATATATATTGGTAGCTCTGAACGTTTAAGTTCAAAATAAATAAAAGCATCGTAGTCCCATGATGCATCCTGGGTTCCCATGCAAGCCACATACTCGTATCTAAGACAAAGAACAGTCAAGCTCGAAACTTATTCAAGCTTTGTCAAGGTAGCTCAGGAAATAGGAAATCATGTTAATTACTTGTTCCTCAGTTGTAACCACAAGAATCCAGAATCGGCTGTGAAATGCTAACTAATTCAGTTGAGTTTTGAACAAACACACAAGTAGAGTTACTCCAGGGACTCCAGGTCACAGCCCTAGTCCAGCACATAATTCACAATCCTATAATCCTTTTGAACTCCGATCCACATTTATTTGAATTGCAGTTGGCAGAAGAAAGTTTCAGATACAGTTAGTGTTATAGAACCATGCTACAATATCCAATTTCAAGACTAACAGGCTATTAAAATTCTGAAGCCAAGAGCTTAAAAGGATCATAACTTGTGAATTCCTGATAAACAAAGAGGGCCTCTTAACTCTCAAAACTAAGAATAAAACACTGAAGCTCCCTGTGCACATCCCCCACCATTTAAGCTTCAAGAATCACACTTCTCCGCTAATCATATAGTGCAAAAACCTAAGAGTAGGTTATGCCTCTCGAGAACAACATTCAGCTAGTGAAATTAACTTGACAAGTGCAAACAGCCAACTTCAACAGCAAAACTAGTTGAAACTTCGAAACTAAATTTCACAGAATCAGAACCCAAGGGTTAAATCAAAGCATCGACGTACCTCATTCCCAGTCTTAGCCGTCCTCTTTATCTCCGCCACAAGTCTCTTTTCCTGACAAGATGACAAGTCCATTTTAGGCTAGCTCCAAAGAAGAAATTATTTTTAACGATAGAATGAAAGGAGGAACAGATTGCATTGTTGAGAAACATATCCATACTTCTGACTGCAGCGCCGAAATTTCCTTCTCTATACCTGAATCCATAGGAACAAACCAAATACATCATTATTACTTACTTGAAGATGATTCAATGGTAGCTTCAAAATCACGGTGCAGAAACATAAATTTCCTATCGATTAACGGTAAGCATGAACACAACTTGTTTGATGATTACCTACCTCTCGTAGCATTTTGCATTTGTCTCTTACTCTCACGGAGAGCCTCTGCAGTCCAATAAAAAGGAGAACAATCAGATCAGGAAGGAGCAGGATAAGAGGGTTACGCAATTCCAAATTCCAGAAACAAAACAGAGTGACAAATCAATTGGACTTGGCCGCCGGAGCCGAACTTTCAAGAAGTAATGAAAAAAAGAGAACTAGAGAAGCTATAAGGATTTGAAGAGAATCGAGTGCTTTTCATCAGTGGAAGCGATCGAGTGATCAGAAAGCTGTGGGCGTGGGTGATAATAAGCGCAATTGAGTATAAAAAAATTACAGAGAGAGAACCTTTGGGATTAGGTTTCTTGCTGAAGATGTTCATTGTTTGTGTTTCTTTCACTTCGTGACCGCCACGGCCTAACCTGGAGCCACCGATCAGAGGAATAGAGCAGGAGGAAGAAGAAGATGAAAGGCGCCCCCAAAGAGTTTGCGGGATTTTACTATCTCTTCTTATATACGTCGATGGTCGATCCTTTTCTCATCATCATTCATCAATCATCATCATCAAGGACTTGGATCGCTGATTTGGTAAAAACAGAGGACTTAGATTGCAAATGTTTAGTTTTGAGTTCCCTAAATTACACGTTTGGTCACTCAAATTATACAAATCTTTTACGTTTGTCAGCAGAATTACTTTCCTTTCTAATTCGCCACTAACTTTACAAATCATTTCACCGTTAGTCACCTACTGCAGTCTTCGTCAGACTCCGTTAGATTTTTTATAACGTGGCAAACAGAATTATTGAATAGACTCTTAACTCAATGACATGTAATTCTAAAATATATATATTACACATCTTTCTCTCCTCAAATCTGCCGCGCAGTTTCTCTTTTCCTTCCTCTTCCAATTCGCACCACCAGCTCCCAACACGAACGACGGTCGCCGCCAGGTTGCAGCCTTCATCCCCCTCACCAGTCCTCCATCCGCCTCCCAACAAGAACGACAATTGTCCGCAGTTACATCACAGCTTGAGGTTCCAAGTCCACAACTCGAGTTTAGCACCGATCTCCCGAAACCATCTGTCCGCGGTGTCGCTCTCCCCGCATAATAAATGTCACCTCCTTGTAGCCGCACTTCACCAACAATGGAATTTTCTCCTGATCTCCGAACTTCCTACTATTCCGCAACACCTCCATTGTCATATCCTGATCCACAATCGCCGGTGCTTCCTTCTCGTCCGTCGTTGCATCTCTTCCAATTTGTACGATCCCAGAGTCCTCTCGTTGAGGAGCTCTCCTCCGTCTACTTTGGGGAAGAGCCTCTGTCTAGCGACAACGATGCCCAATTGGAATTGAATTGCCTATTAAGGTCAAGCACGGTGGAAGACATCAGGTAGGCGAATTTGGTTTACGCCACCACTTTTCAGCCATGGATTTTGTATGTCGCCACCATGGCCATTGTCTCGCCGGGCGAATTGAGCTTTGTGCTTTCCGATCTGCTATTTAGGATAGCTACTAGAGATTTATCGACAGATTTCCGAGGCCGCCTCGATCTCCAGATTTGCGTGGAATCTATCAAGGACCTGGGGACGGGAAGGAAGAAGACGAAGAGGATGTTGGAGGCGGATGGAGGACTAGAGCGACTGTCATCGTATTTGTTGAGAGCTGGTTGTGCGAAAAATAAAGAGAAGAGAAAGTGTGCGGGGAGAGAATGAGGTGTAACAATTTTTGTCTTTTTTTTAAATTACATGTCATTAAGTTAACAGTGTAGTCAGCAGTTTTGTTTGTCATGTCATCAAAATTTGATGGAGTTAACAGAGATTGACGGTCAGTGACTTACGGTAAAATGATTCGTAAAGTAAGTGGAGAATAAGAAGGAAAAGTAATTCTGGTGGCAAACGTGAAAGATTTGTATAATTTGAGTGACCAAAAGTATTATTTAGCTATTTTGATTTATTTATTTATTTTTCATAGATAAACCATAAAGACTCACACGAATATATTGACAATCCAACTACAAAAATCTAATAACAGTCGACCTACCAATGAAATAGCCTTTTTAATCATAAGATGAGACAATTTTGTTATACTTTTTAAAAGACGGAAAAATTTAAAGAGGGAACTGAGAAGCTGTCGAACTTTCGACAATATTACATCCCCAAGATGAGACAATTCCATTGTAATTTCAAAGAGATGGGAAATTATAAAGAAGGAACTGATAAGCTCTCGAACTTTGGACAATATTGCATTCCCAAGCACATCAACTTTTTTTCTTGACAGAACACATTGTATGATCAGCTAAATATCAACACAAACATAAGACAGCATGAAGCCATGAGTTAGACACTATCATATAGCGTCCTTAAGGCAACACGTTCAATAATCATTGGTATCTCCATATAAAGTAAAGAGATTAAGCAACTGATTCAATACGAAAGGCTAAAAAACATGTGGGAAGTGTGAGATCTATATGAAACAAAATTATCCATGTGGTTGCAACGATACCACACCTATGAATGAGATGGAAGAGACAATAGCTAATCTAAAATCCAGGAACAAGACCCAACTAAGAAGAGAGTTTATAGGAAAAGATGACAGTGAAGAAGAAAGATTAAAGAAAGTATGGGAAGGGTCCTTTGGACGAAGGTGCTGGTGGTTGGGGTGGAAGTTTGGTCTGCGGATTGTGGGTATTACGCAAACCGCACCAAATCGCACACTTTGTGGGTAACCATACCCACAATTTGCGAATAGTGGGTTCAGTGTGGGTAGCAAAATATTGACTTTTGTGGTTAATGGTTAACCACTATCCATAATGGTTAACCCACAATAACCACACTAAGTATATTTCTTTATTAATAATACTTTGTAATATTAAAGTATGCGAAAAGTAGAGTGCTACAAATTAAAGTAGCCTCCAAAATCAAATATGTACTTATTTTATAAAACAAAACCAAGTCAATACACAATGTCTGTACGGGATACTTTTATTAAATAAACATTGTCCGCGTGGTATGTGATTGTTTTATAACAAAACCTTGTTCTTTCGTCTTTTGAAAAGAGTTGGGTCGAGATATTCTCGAAATGGAGATGACATAATTTGCTAATTTCCTACTGGAAGAAGGCCTTCATGACCTCAACTACCAAGGATATCAATTTTTTTTTTTATTCAGTGGAGGCCTAGGGCCAAGTAGAGTTACAGGTGAGAGAGAGAGGTGGAGGTACCAGCACTAGAGTCCTGGTTTACAATGTTCCTAGCAAAACACACTCCTTGAAAGTCTTCGAAAATAATTTGTTGGAGTTCAGGTGGAGGGTTCATAATTTCATACAACCCAAAAGGATAGACGAGACTGTGCTTCGAGAGCTATTCCGCGGCTCTATTCCCCTCACGGTACGTATGAACAATACGAACCAACCATCCTTGAGCCAACTTTCGCCTGATAGAATCCAAAATGGTAGCATGGGGGTGTATCGGATCTGTACGGTGGGATATCAACTCCATAGCTATCCGCGAGTCAGTTTCGAGAATGATACATCTTTGTCCACTTTTCCAAACAAGATTTAGACCTTCATGAATTGCCCAAAGTTCTGCCACAATTGTCGTGCTACTTCCTATCCTGTAGATAAATCCTTTAACCCATTTGCCATATGAGTCTCGTAGTAAACCTCCTGCCCCTGATTCCCCTATGTTGCCTTGTGATGCCCCATCGATGTTGAGTTTGGTCCATCCTATAGGTGGAGGACTCCATCCGATTTGAGCATGTATTCTATCTGGTGGGACTTGTGAGCGGTTTAGTTGGATCGTCGATGAGTTCCAAGATGCTATCCAAGACTCTGTTGTACTCAAGATAACATTGGTGAGTGAGAGAGGGGAGAGTACCTTTCTCGAATCATTGAGGGTGACTTCATTTTGTTGCTTCCATAACAACCAAACCGCGATAGCAAAGAACGCGGCCCAAGAGGTGTTGCGGGGGCCTGACTCGGTACTGGCGATGTTGCTCGAGAACCATTGACCATCTTCTTGGGCAAAGAAGCATGCTTGTTGGTCTTGTGGAATGACCTTCCTCCAAAAATACTTTGCTATGGAACAATCTCTACAAATATGTAGACGATTTTCAATAACTACAGGACACCGAAGACAATATGGTGTTGAAACCAGTAGCTTCGAGTGGAGCCGTTGTCGGGTGTTGATTTTGTCTAAAAAAAGGACCCACACGAAGGTTCGGACTCGTTCAGGAACCGGAAGCTTCCATATAATTTTCCAAGGTGATCGTGTGGTGATAGCTGGAGGCGCTGGTGAAGGGTGAGCCATTTGATATGCTGATCTTATGGAGAACTGACCAGTAGAGGACTCTCTCCAAAATAACTTGTCTGTCGTGGTTGCAAGAGGGTCAACTGCCAAGGCAGTGATTTTGTCGGTCACATTGGGAGGCAGAAGTGACTCGAAACTTGCTTTCATCCATCTTCCAGTGTCATCGATATAGTCTGCAACAACGGTATCTAGTAGGGCATCCGGGACTTGGTTGATGGCCACCTGCAACAAAGGAACCTGCAAAACCCAAAGATCGGTCCAAAACTTAGTGTTCTTTCCATTATGAATATTTCACGCGCATCCTTATTTCAGGATTGGAGTAGCTTTGTTAATGCTACGCCAGGTGAAGGAACTTCCCTTTACTGTTCGAAACATGTTGAAATTCTGTCTTCTCCTAGCATACTTGCTTTTCAGAACCTTGACCCAGAGCGTGTTTGGTTCAGTGAGCATTCTCCAGCACGTCTTTGCAAGCATTGAGATGTTGGCATGGCGTGTTGATCGAATCCCTGCACCTCCCTGAGCTTTTGACTCCTTCAACTTGTCCCAAGAGACTAAGTGCATTCTCCTCTTCTCGTCTGTATCCCCCCAAATAAAATCCCTGTTGCAACGATCCAAAGCACTACAAGTAGATGCAAGAAGGAATTCTATATGCATAGGATATGTAGGAATAGTAGACGAAATTGATCTCACCACTATTAGTCTAGCTGCAAGCGAAAGGCGTCGAGCTTTCCATGGAGCTAGCTTTTTCTGGATCCGACAGGCAAGTTCAGAATATCTTTCTTTGGTCACTCTCCCATTGATGGCTTGTAGTCCAAGGTAGCGACCAAAGTCTGAAGTAAGGGGGATGCCTGCTCTGCTGCCTAGTGTTGCTGCTTTAGTTCGACGCACAATAGGAGAGACATACATGATTGATTTTGAAAGGTTGACACGCTGTCCGGAACTGTTACAAAAGTCTTCTAAGCATCCTTTGATAACTTCGATCTGAGTTAGTTCTGCCTCTGCAAAAATGATCAGATCATCTACAAAAAATATGTGAGACAACTCTGGCCCCTCAGGAGTGAGTTTCAGGGGTTTCCAGGATTTGTCATCAACGGCCTGATTAATTCGGTGTGATAACCGTTCCATACACAAGACAAAAAGGTAGGGAGAGAGGGGATCTCCCTGACGAACTCCACGGGTGGGGAAGATTTGAGGGGACAGCTCTCCATTCCAGATAAGCCTCATACTATTGTGCTCCACAACATACATATTTTGACCAATCCAACTGCTAGGAAGTCCCACTTCAATAAGAGTATCTCGAAGAAATTCCCACCGCAGCATGTCATATGCTTTTTCAATATCAATTTTAACAATGAGGCCTCCGCGTTGTCCTTTCTTCCTCCGAAGAGAGTGGAGAACTTCCTGCATCACAATAATGTTATCAATAGTTTGTTATCAATAGTTTGTCTCCCTGGAATGAAACTACTCTGAGTTGGGGCCACAAGCTTGTGCATGATCGGTTTGAGACGGTTCGTGATGGCCTTGGTGATTGCTTTCAAGCACACATTGTTGAGGCAGATAGGTCTGAGTTGATTCACGGCTTCTGGGACTTCAACCTTGGGGATCAAGACCACCGTTGATTGTGTAACCGACTCAGGGAGCTGTTCTGTCTGGAAAAAATTTATAGCCATATTAGTGAGAGATTTCCCTATAACTTCCCAATTATGTTGGCAAAAGATTGCTTGAAACCCATCAAGTCCTGGGGCCTGTAATGGTTTCATCTCATGAATGGCCTTGTGGATATCGCCAATGTTGAATGGTCGAAGAAGTTTAGCGAGCTCGTTGTGGGTGAGCCGTGGGAAGTAACCTTTGGGCATTTTATCCATGTAGCTAGTAGTATCCTGCAAATATAAAGTTGAAAAGAAATTGTAGACCAAGTTAGCTAGCTCCTGGGGTTCAGAGATCCAATCTCCACAATTGTTCTTTAGGCTGGTGATGCGATTTCTTCGACGTCGGATGGTTGCTTGTTGATGGAAGTAAGCGGTATTCCATTCACCAAACTTAACCCATTTCTCCCTAGCTTTCTGGAACCAGAGCATCTCTTCCTGTTCCAGGATTTGATCAAGTTCCTTCTCTAGTTTGGCCATCAATTTACCAAGACCTGCGGAGAAGGAGACAGCCAGTTTTTTTTAATTCCATTAATACGAGAGAGAAGTCTCTTCTTTTTGGTGTGAATGTTTCCAAAGACATTGGCATTCCACCCTTTTAGTTTAGTGGTCAAATCAGCAAGAGCATCGGAAAGTGGGGAGTTTTGGTCCCAAGCTCCTGCAATGAAATTTCGAAAATCAGCATGACAAAGCCACATAGCCTCAAATTTAAAGGAAGGACAAGCATGTGAGATGGATCCCTGTCCGTTGGAAGAGGTCAAGATGGGATGGTGATCGGAGTGGAGACGAGGAAGGTGGATAACCGCTGAGGCTGGAAATTGAGCATTCCAAGCAACGTTACAAAAGCTTCTATCTAATCTGCTTGCTTTGTATGTATTCGTCGATTCTCCCCTGGTCCAAGTGAATCTTGATCCGGAGAATCCCAGGTCGATTAGTTCAGCTTGGTTAATCCAGGAGTTGAAACGTCGGCAATGTCGAAGAGCTTCCTCTGTGCAAGTTCCTGACTTCTCTGTGGGACAACTAATTGCGTTGAAATCTCCGGTTACTAGCCACAGTAGATAAAGATGCTTGCCTGTCTCCGTAAGATAGTCCCAAAGAGGTGATTGCAGGTGTTTCTGTGGCGAGGCATACACTCCTGTAATGATGAAAGGGGATTGATCCTTTGGATTTATTTGGACAGTTATGTGTTGTGAACTGGCCAAGATGAGGGTGACCCCAAAACTATCTCGTCTCCAACAGAGCCAAATACCACCCTTGCGACCATTAGCTTCAACTCGCACCATCTCTCAGTACCCAATTTTCTCACAAACTTTGTTCGCTCTATCTGCACTTATCTGTGGTTCCAACACAGCCAACAAATCAGGTTTCTGGAGCTGAAGATTAAGACTTAGAGATCGAAGGAATGCCTTACTACCTGCACCACACACATTCCAGGAGAGAGTCTTAAAATTGAAGTTAGCTGACATAAAAAAGATCACTTAAAAGGAAATTTGAGCTAGGGGAGGAGAGTGGCGCTAGGTGGGGCTTGGAGCAGCCACATGAGTCGTCGTGGACGGCCTATCTTCTTTGTTATCTCGGCTGGGTATATTCATTTGTTCTGGAGATACAATTGGATTGTTTGTCGAAGTTCTTTCAACACCAGCAACAACCTCCATCCTCATAGACGCGTCGGGTGATGTGTCATCGAGGACTGACGTCTCAGGAAGACCACTTCGAGGACACGAGGGGGTATTGAAATTAGCATTGAGGATGACCATTTCTTGGAGAGTAATAGGCACTCCTTGCTTCTTATCTTTAGATTTTTGCCGTTTTGGTGCAGAGCTTCCCATCTTCGGCTTCAAACTTCTGCTAATGGGGATGCCCTGTTTCTCTATTCTATGTTTTCCTTCTTCATTCTTCTTCCCATTTGATCGAGCGTTGATGGAGGGCTTCTTTGCTATCTCACTTTCAATGGGCTCCACAGCTACCACATGGATTATAGTTCCATTTGGGCAAGAAATGGTAGTTGTTGGTGGGGCTTTGTCGCTGACGAGAAGTGAGGGTGATGTGTTTGTAGTATGGTGGTTTGGTGGAAGGCCGGAGATTTGTGGGTGAGAAATTTCCTGAGTGGTTTTAGGTGGGTTGAGGTTAAATTCGTGGGCCTTGGTAGCTGTGGGATGAGGCCCAAGAAGACCTTTTTCCAGGGGCAAAGTAAATGGAAAAACCTTATCTTTAGCAGAGGAAAGATGCGAGACATCTGCCTCCTTCTCGTGGAGTACTAAGGATGATGATGATCCGTTTTCCACATGATTTTTGCCTCTAGAATTTAGGTCCGTTGAAGGTCGTGGGTTAGCAGCTTGTGATGGAGCATGGGGCCGGCTTGAATCGTCATGGGAGGTGGCCCCTGTTTGTGCATTGGAGGCAGATCGAGGTAGCGACAGCGGTGAGTTAATGTTGGAACCCTTATCTCTCCTCTGTGCTTGGTCTGCTGTGGGATTAATTACGACATGGGTAGATTCTTTCCGTTTGAGCTTGTCGGCAGAAGAAGCGAGTTGAACGCGAGTCGCCGTCATGCCGCCGGTGCTTGTTGGATCTTTGTTCTTACTCGAACGCCTGGGTTTCCGCTTCACAATCATCCATGGGCCAAAGCCTGAATCTATGGGAGCGGTTTCTGATTGTTGAGCCGTGGGATCCGGAACATTGAGCTGCTGTTGGTGCGATGGAGATGAAGATGACACTGTGAATGGAGTGTGGGTATGTTGTTCTGCAGTAGGCAACTGAGTTGCAATGATGCTGGACGTTGTTGAATGAACAGGAGTTCCATCATGATATTCCTCTTTCTCATGGCCGATTCTCCCACAGGAAAAGCAAACCTTGGGAAGATTTTCATATTCGACCAGCTGTATGCAATCATCGAGGTAGAAGTCTGGGATGAGGGGTTTAGAGACATCGATTTCAACGGCTATTCTAGCAAATTTACCTCGCTGAGCTGATTGAGTGTGGTAGTCAATGTTGATAAGCTTTCCAATTGTGTTGCCAATCGCTGTGAGGATACTAGTATGATAGTACTGGATTGGCATAGCCAGGAAGCACACCCAGACGATCAGTGATGGTGGAAGCTTTGCTGTGATCCGGAAGGTAGGAGTCCATTTCCTCACCACAAGGTAGTGCTCGAAGATGATCCATGGCCCTTCGGTTAGTGATTTTGTGTAGTCTGCAACATTGGAAAATTTTATCATGAAATAGCCTTGCTCTAAATCAACAATTTGCATAGATCCCACTGGCTTCCATAAGTATTTCAGGCGGGAACATAGGCTTAGGTAGCCGATAGAGCGCCCAAGCAAATTAACGATGACTGTTTGGTGCCATGGAGCGCATATTTGGCGTTGTAGTTGGCTTGAGATACAAACAGACAACTTGTTGGCCTGGGTGCCAATAATGATGTCTTATTCGCTTGGTACGAACTCTGGCGTAGTCTGGATATCTTGCGTTGGTGGACCTTGTTCCACAGCTCTCTTGTAGGAAAGAGGTGGCATGATATTTTGGTATGGAGCGGTGTCCATCAAATCTTGAGTCGTAGCAGCTGGCAAGAGTGGCGGAAATTGAAAAGAGGGGGTTGTGGGTACGATTTCTGGAGGTTTTGCTGGAGGAAGTAGTGAAAAGAAGGAGCTTGCCGCCGTAGGCGGCAGTGATATCATATCGGAAATGGGTAGGAAAACAGAGGAAATAAGAGTCCTATACCAAACCAGTAGCTTCCGGGAAGACGATACAGTTAGAGAAAGAGGAAGGACAAGTCAAGCAGCTAGGGAGCAAATGCAGGCCATGAGTCTATATGGACTTCCTCAAACCCCAAGGATATCAAATTTACGTGGGAAAACAACAAAGATGGAGGAGGATATATTAAAGAGAGGTTGAACATGTTCTGTGGCCTCAACATCGTGGATGACCCGCTTCTACAATTTACGAGTCCTTCCTTGGGATAAGTCAAGATCTAAGCATTGGCTAATTGTATGCGACACATATGAAGAGAAGGGTGTGCAACCCAAATGTGAATGGTCCTAAAGTTTAAACCGCGTTGGGTTAAATACAAGGATGGTCCTAAAATAGTAGCTGACACATGAACTCTTTCGGAATCGATGAGCGTGCTTGCTAGGTTGGAGATTTGTAATCAAAATATTGATGATTGGAGTCATGAGACATTTCTAAACTTCTCTAAGCAGATGTCACGAATATAATGAGCCATGACGGCTATTGACCGGTCACCAAATAATAAAATCATTCTCCTGCCGTTCAAGCAAGGAGTTGTAACTCATTAAATAAGAAGATAATGACTAGTTGTGATGGAAGCAACGATCTCGGGCTGACTAACTATGGAATGGAGATACAAAAAAATACACAATTTTGTTCATAAGAAAACAACAGCCGACATGAAAAGAAATATGATTTATAAGTACAAGATGAATTGGGACAGTGGTGTACCACTCAACCACGCCTCATATGTTATTTCGTCAAAATGTTCACGCCATGAACGACCCCCAACAAAGACACCAATATTAACTATGTGCCAGCATGAAGCATCCATTGCTGTTAAACAATACGATGACCTCTTGCCTTTCGAGTGAGATGAAGTCTTTGGAGCTCTTAAGCATGTGACGTTATAGAAAGTTTCGAGAGATGATGGTTTGGTTGTGTTGTTCATCAGGAGGCATTAGCATATTATTGGCGATGATGTAATCAACACTTTATTGGGAATTCGTAAGGGGAGAGATATCGAAGGAATCAAATCATACTCTTATCGCTTTTATTCCAAAGGTAAAATCTCTTACATAAAAAAAACACGAGCCTATCAACTTAGATAACATGTTCTACAAACTGGTGGCTGAAGTATTGTCAATTGGGGCTAGGAGCGATACCCATCGCCGCCTCTTTTCTTCTTGGGTTGGGTTGCTTGTGGGCCAAGCAACCTCTCCTGTCAACTTGGACTGTAGCTTCAATGTCTTGGACTAATGGCGGTTGGACTCGTCCTTGACCCGATGTCAATTTCTTCTCCAAATTGGGCTGAGTTTTCTCCAGTGGGCTCTTTTTGGGGTCTAATTGAGACTTCCAAAAGACTTCCCCTCCTTTAGGCTTCTCTTAAAGGTAAAAACCTCATTGATCTTTCCAATCACGCTCCATTGATCCTCTATAATCGTCCAAGCTTTAATCTAAAGTATTTTAAGCTGTGTTTTACCTTGAAAAACACATAAATACACTAAAAAGGCATAAAAAGATACAAAAACACAATCTAGGTTTAATAATAGCTCATTGATCAAATAGTTATGATATTCATATGAAATTAAGTAAAAACTCCTAAATATGCATTGATAGAAGAGAAAATGTATCAAATATACTAATGATAAACACTATAAATAGAGTGTTATCTGTGTTGCACCTCCTAAGCGCTGGAGACTATCGGATCACGACTTTGTAAAGATAAAAACTCACATTGAGATACTACAAGGAGGGGGTATTGGCTTGGGCGTTGTCATATGTGATCACGCAAACAAGTTCAACCTAGTCGCTACTAAGAAAATACCTGACACGTCGGAAGTTGATATATAGAGGCGCTAGCGGCAGAACTTGGTGTGCACTTAGTACATAGATAAATATTTCAAAACCACTCATTGAAACAAATACTTTGTCACTTTTTCAGAAACGATAGTATAATGTCCTCTTATATAGGAAATTAGTGTTCTATGTCGGAGCATTCGTAGATGGATGGGGTATATGGTTGGTGGAAATTAGTGTCATGTTGCTTGAGATAATGGAGTGAAGCGGATCACATGTCATCATACAAAGACTCGGTGAAGAGAGTGTGGTTTGACTAGATAACACCCTCCCCCACACATTTTCGTATTAATCAACTAACCTGGACAGTTAGCCACATTGTCTGATTAATATAAGTTCTATAAAAGTTCCAACTAAAAAATTGAGTTATCCTCAATAAAATGCATTAATTGCCATATACAAAAGTCAGTCATTGACGACTCCACTATGGCATATAATGGGTCTCCCTCAAGGTTGTCAAATCGATTTTAATCGTTACAATTTAGTAAATTATATGATTCGATCGGACTAAAACCGGTTTATATGCCGGTTGTAGGAAAGTGGGTATCAAATGAATTATGCATATATATGATATATTTTAAATCAATCTCATTATAATCTATAACAAATGACAAATCATCATATTTAAATACAATAATTAACATTAACATTCACACGTTTATATTTAAATCCAACAAATAGCATGAACTTTTTTTTAATAATAGCATGAACATCTAAATGTTCATATTGTAATCCAACAAATCCCTTTGAGTTTTTTTAATTAATTTCAAAAAACGATGTCATTTATTTAGTTATAGAAACGAAATTTGATCATTCGGATTTTACCACGGATTTACTCGATTTTAACCAACTTTGATAGTTTTTACTTTTTTTCAATTTGACTACTTTGCCGATGGTTTAGCCCATTTGTATCAGATTCTAATTGAATTTGAATCTAATTTTACCTACCTGCATACCTGTAGTTTGACAAATCACAATTGACAACCATGGTGATCGGCGATCGCTGCATTATCTTTTATCACTGTGCCTCGCACAAAACGCCGATTTTTTTAAACAAGCCAAAAAAGAAAAAGAAAAAAAAAAGAGCGCGGCTCTCCCTTTTCCTCTCCTCCTCAAAGCTTCCTCCATCGCTCTACTATGGCGGACTAGTTACTCCTTGCTTCCTGTTTATCTACGGCGGACCATCCATCGCCATCCTCCTCCTGTCGATTTGCACCAGCTCCTGTGCTTTTCGCGTTTCCAAGCTCTCAATTCCACCTCCTGTCTTTTTTCAAATTCAAGTTAGCATAGAATTATTCAACTAGAAACTTCGCGTCTAACTGTGCTTTCACGGTCGAAGTTCTACGGTCCAGGAAAAGTAAGTAACCGTTGAGGTTGCTGGTTCGGCTTTGGTCAAAACTGTTTGCTTTCTCCTTTGCTCGGTTATCGAGTAGTGCGTCTCTGCTGCTATTGTGAGAACTGACTAGCACTACGCCGGTAAGCTAATGGTGAGGCTGAGGAGTAGGAACGATCGTTGGGGGTAAAAACACGACAACTGTAAGTTTGTGTTGAGGTGGAGAAGGTTTTGGAGTTTGTAAGCTACTGGAATTTACTGAGAACGATTTCTTCAGGGACTGAAGAATTAGGGTTTCGGGAGGTTTGCTAGTTTATCATTTTGAGGCTGTATTGGTTAATTATGGATATTGATACAGTAGGAGGAAATGATGTTGTTAGCTATTTGGACCCTGAACTTTTGCATCTTCCCGAGGTTTCTTCATTTGAGCTCAAGCCGACTACTCAAATCGCTGAGGAATTGTTCTCTCAATGGCTCTCTCAACCTGACACTAGCCGATTGGTATATCTTTTTCATCATCTGTAGGAACTTGTTATCTGCTCCTCAAAAGTCTTATCGAACCTGTTATCATTCCTAGTGAGTAGTGAATAGTGATTCTGTGAATTGGTTCAGCCTGCTCGCCTGTGTTAATTGCAGGTAAAATCGTTGATTAGGGATGCAAAGGCTGGCCTTCCGATCAATGCTCACGGGATCTCTTCTAGTGCTGGTGCTGGAGGAGGTAGCAATTCGCTGACTAATGTCAGTCCTCCTCCACTTTCGCCAAGGAGTTCGTGTGTTTCTCCACGCACTTCAAAGCAGAAAATAAGCCCTTTCTCTCTCGCGTCTACCCGGAAGTTGGCTACTGAACCGGCCCAAGAAGCTATACCTCAGGTTTAGTGATTTCTCAGAGTTCAATCTCTTCATTTGGGATTGGCATGTATCTGTCTCCTCTGTTTTTGGAGGTAGAAATGTTCACTGACTGTTATTTATTTATTTGTTTACTGCAGTTTTATTTCCAACATGGTCGTCCACCAGCAAATGAACTCAAGGAACTGTGTCTTTCTAGAATCAATCTACTTTTCAACAATAATCTCGATGGGCTGCACATAGATGGTTAGAACTATAACCAGTTCATTATCATCATTATTGCATCTCCAATATATATATTTTCTTTGGATTCCTAGTTGCTTTCTTCTTCTTCTTCTTCTGCATCCCTTGGGATGACAAGATAGAAGTGGAACAGCTACTCCTTTTTTTTTTTTTCTGACTTAAAGTAATTTTATTGGTTTCCCCGGTACACAGAATTCAAACTTGTTACAAGGGAAGTTTGCAAGCTTCCATCCTTCTTTTCATCTGCACTTTTCAGGAGGATAGATGTTGAATGCTATGGGATAGTCACAAGGTAGGCACCTTTATGACTCTTAGAAGTTCAATCTTATGGCATTTCCTGTTAGGAAATAACCCCTCTCGAAGCTCTTCTGTTTGCGTTACCTCGGCAAGCAGTCGTATTTTAAGCAGTTTTGAAGAATAGATGTGCTAAGTTACTCTGTCTCTCCAATGCATGTCTCTGTTAGGACCTTAGTTCCTATGTCATTTTGTTTCTACAGGGATGCATTTCTAAAATATTGGGCGGAGAGCAGTATGTTGACAGTGGATATGGCTACACAAGTCTTTGAGATTTTAAAGCAGCCTAACCGACGCTACCTAACTAAGGTCTGCCCTTCGATGCACATCACTTATCCACGGAAACTGTCTCTACATTTGGCTGCTGACAGCTAATCATTTTGACGATGGCCCCTTCTTTCTTTCAAAACTATATGTGAAACTTATCTGCCAAACTTTGGTTGTGCACAGGCTGACTTCAAACCTGTTCTTGAAGAATTGCTAGCGACCCACCCAGGGTTGGAGTTCTTACAAGGGACTCCTGAGTTTCAAGAGAAATATGGTATGAACGAAAGAAACTACTCCTTGGAGGATACGCCAGTTTCCTCTAAACGATGAAACATGTTGCAGCTATGTCAGATTTTGACTGATGAGTTTTTCTGCTGATGTCTCAGCTGAAACTGTCATATACAGAATATTTTACTACATCAATAGATCAGGAAATGGCCGCCTAACCCTAAGGGAGTTGAAACGTAGCAATCTCATCTTTGTCATGCAACAAGTGGATGAAGAAGAAGAAATTAACAAAATATTAAGGTTTGTTTTTCAGCAAATATTTGTAGATTAGTTGCCTTAGCAAGGATTTGACAGTAGACCTAATTGAAGCTATTCTTTTTAACTTAATCTGGCTTGCCCCTGTTTATATATAGTTGTGTTTGCATTTCAGTCACTATGTTCATTTGACCCAGAACATGCACCAAGCAGGAAAAAAAAATGGACGTGTAGATGATCCCGGTGCCAATTTTGTTTTCTTCAATGACAAACATGATATATTCATAGAGTTAATAGATAGTCTCTTCCAACACCGTCAGTTACCTGTGTTCTTTTCTCAGCATCTGTTCTCTTTATTCAGGTACTTCTCTTATGAGCATTTCTACGTCATATATTGCAAATTTTGGGAGCTGGATACAGACCATGATTACTTGCTGGACCGAGAGAATCTTATCAGATATGGTAATCATTGTCTTACGTACAGGATTGTTGATAGAATATTTTCACAGGTTGGCAGCCTTGATCTATCACTTCATTATTGTAAATCTGAATTAAATAATTTTAACACTTGGATGAAATAGTTACGCATAGGGTGACTTGTAACAAGATCCTAAATTGATCTCAGGCACCAAAGAAGTTTTCAAGCAATGTGGAAGGAAAGATGAGCTATGAAGATTTTGTTTATTTCATACTGGCAGAGGAGGATAAATCATCTGAACCTAGTCTTGAATATTGGTATGTAACTTCATCTCTTTTTTTGGTCCATTTGGTTTGGCTTACAGAACATGAGTACTCTGGCATGTTCTTCTGTCAATTGTTTTGTTGTCAGTTCTGTCCAACATTCTATCTCTGCTGGGCATATTTTCTTTGCAACCACATTTCTCATTTTCTAGCATGCCCAGGTTAATCATCAGAAAATGTTCAGCTTTTTAGAAATTTGAATTTTAACAATATGTTCATGAAACTCAATGAGGTCATCATAACCTATATAAAAAAAAAATTTCGTGAAACTCTCGCTGGAAATGCTGAACATAGAAATCTCGTGCTACAATTCTGAGGTGCTTCGTTTTGTTTTGTGAAACTAGTCTCTTATTATTAGCAGTAGGCCCTTACAAATTACGAATGACAGTACTACAGTGCTTCAGTTTGTCTATGGCATTCTTTGTCTAGCAATGGCCTAAATAATGCGGACTCATGTGGTGGCCTACTTTTGATGATTTTCTATATTGAACTTGCAGCATCTCCTTTCATTTTTGCCATGTTTCTTACTTTACTGAGCTGTACGGGGCAGGTTCAAATGCATTGATTTGGATGGGAATGGAGTCCTGACTTCCAGTGAGTTGCAATACTTCTATGAGGAGCAGCTGCATCGAATGAGTTGCATGTCCCAGGAACCTGTGCTTTTTGAGGATATATTGTGTCAAATAGTTGACATGATTTCACCTGAGGTGAATTTTTCCTTCTATTACCTATTAAAAGTTCCACCATATATACTTTGGATGGTTGATTATTTCTTCGGTGAACTGAAAATGGATGTGCTGCAGAGGGAAGGTTATATCACGCTGCACGACTTGAAAAGAAGCAAACTGTCGGGAAATATCTTCAACATTCTTTTCAATCTAAACAAATTCATGGCCTTTGAAAGCCGTGACCCATTTCTCATTCACCAGGTAGATTTGATTAATACTGCTTCTCATGGTTATGTCTACCCACTTCGTGCGTGGTGAACTGATTCGCTTTAATGACATGCATCTGCTTGCCTTGTTTGTTACTTCAGGAACGCGAGGATCCAACTTTAACAGAATGGGATCGGTTTGCACATAGAGAATATGTCAGACTTTCAATGGAGGAGGACTCCGAGGCTGCCTCAAACGGAAATGTAGAGTCCTGGGAAGAATCTCTCGAGGCTCCGTTCTAACACCTGAGGCCAGTTCGGGTTCTCAGATGTAATTCTCCAGCACAAAGAAATGAAAGGCAAGCGCTACACCATCACCTGTGGCTTTCCCAGTTCCAACCTTGAATGTGCAAGTTACTTTAGTACGTGCATACCGTGGTGAGCGAGTAGGAAGAGGCCAGGTGGTATCTTTGGGGGAGCCTTGGTGCTTAATCAATAGTTCAATACAAAACTCGAGGCCTCTGATATACGTAGAGTCGAACTTGGTTTGCGCCTCTGAAGTGAGAACTCCTGCCATTTCCAGTCAACTACTGTACCTCATTCAGGTGCCACATTTTTGTTTCCAACCCCTTGGTTTCCCCCCTTTTCCCATTCTAATTATGGTTAGGTGACTGTTTATTCTCTTATTCCTGAAGTTCTGGAGACTTATTACAATAATTAGGACCTATGGTCTCCCCTCAGCCTTCCAATCTTGTTCAGTTTTGGTTCCTTTGTCAAAGACTGCCAAACCGGCCTTTGTACATCAGTCGTTCTCTTTAGTTAAGTGTTGGAAACTGGTTTTCACTTGTCTATGTAACGTCTTTGAGAACGGAAAATATCGTATTGTGGTACTGCAAAGTGGGAAGAGGTTGAAACGAAAAATATTAGTAGGGTATTTTATGCTGAAATTGTGATTTAATGATAATATAATCACAGAATACGTGCTAAATACTGCCTACCGATTGTCGATTTTTGCCTCCACTGAGATTTTGCAAAACGAACTATCGGAACGGTACAATTTTTCAATCATCGGAAAAAACACCCTACTGTGAGGATAACGTAATGGGTTGAAAATAACAAGCTAAATCCATTCCACATGATCTTTCCCTTAGCACAAGCCATGGTATCCCAATTCAATCCCAATTCAAAGTCTCAAGCAAAATTGGCAATTGATGACTGAAACAAGACACATTGAAACGACAAGTAAACTACCGACTTAAAAAGAAAAGGTGGGATCTTCTACGCGGACTCCTTTTTGAGTTTTGCAAGTTCCTGCCTGACAAGTCCTCCCCTCTGCAAACACACGAAAAACATTCAATAGTCGGCCATTCTGTTAACATATCACTACGACGACAAAATCCGTGGAAGTTTGAGCTACATGGCAATGCAACTAAGATGAGATTGAATGTTTGGTTTTCTTCATGACACGACCAAACACCACACCCAGCTAGTCACAATCATATTTCACAACAACGAGCCAAAAGGGGGGAAGGGGGGGGGGGGGGGGGGGGTGCAATTGCAAGATGAGGAAGTTAAGGAAAGAAATTTCGCAGCGAATTGATGCACGGTTGGTGTTCATATCCAAAGTCATGTGTACTCATCCCAACGAACTAGTAATGCTATTCAGGAAAAAAGGGTAACAAAGAGGGCTAACGAATACGAAGAAAGAAGTTGTGATGTATGCATACCTTGATCTTAGCCAACATGACCTTGAACCTGTCAAAATCATTGAGTGAGGCTCTCTTCTTCTGAACAATGAGCTTCCTTCCCCAGGAACTGTTCTCCCATTTGCCCTTAACATCTGAGTCACCAAGAGTTCAGTAAGAAGAAAGGTAACAGAGCATGGACATAAAAAATACAATCTAAGGGGCATGGAAACACATAAACAAGCACAAACCTGCTTTCTCCATCGCTTCAATCAGAGTCTTCTTCCTGGGAGCCCTGTTGATGTCAATCTTGATGTCAGTGAGAGTAAGCCTCTTGAAGTTCAGCTGGCTCCTCACCATATCTGGAGCATCAACCAGAGCCTGTGTATCCATTTCACCAAAATACCCAAATCCTTTGAACAACAAGGCAATCTTTACAACCCCATTTCCAACCGAGCTTAGTAAACAGTATATTTTGTAGAATGCCTTTCATTCTTCCAGTTCTACTATTCTCAACTCTGAACTTCGATAACAGCCATCGACAAAGAATTGAATCTCCTAGGAAAAGAACTGAAGCCAAACCCTAATCGCATAAAGGTACTGGAATCTAAATTCTCACAAATCATAATGTGACTATCAAGTTAGCCTCACTATAACATTTCAGGAAAAAAGAAAACTACCCTTTCATTCTCGGGAGTAATTGAAAAACTCAACAAAGAGAGAAGATAGAAAGCAATACCCTGTTTTGATCGACGACATCGACGATCACCACGAGCTTTCCGTAGTCCTTCCCGTAGTTGATTAGCGCCACCCTCCCAATCTCCACGTACCTCTTGAAACCCTACACACCATTCCAAAAAATCAGGTTTTTTGCAACGACGGCGGACCGGAGTTTCCAGTAACAGAGAAGCAAGTGATTTATCCCCAGCCAAGTTATTGCGGCGAGGAAATACTAGAGCAAGAAAGGAAAAGTCTGCTCCGCAGACCAAACAAAGGAGGAAGGGAAGGAGCTCACCATTTTAGCAAGATTTGCTAGGGAAATCGAAGACAAGAGGAGGGAATGGCAGGGAAGGAAAAGCGAAAGGGTTAAGGGGGAGGGAAGAGGTTAATGAATATCGGCTAGGGTTTTTGCTAGGCTGGATACCAGACACTACTTCACCGAAACGAGCCCGGTCCAGCTTTTCCTTGTAAATTGAATGCCGAGTCCAGCCCATCTACTTACTGGCTTTGACCCTGCCCGTTGGGCAGCTAAATTTTTTTCAATCTTATGTGTTCTGTTTTTTTTTTTTTTTTGTTAAAGCGTGTTCATATTTTTTGGATGTGCTTTTGATTTATGAATTTGTGATAGAATTTTAAATTATTGATAGATATTCTAATAATAATTCTTTAATTTTATATGTAGATATAAATAAATTTTTTAGTCCATAGAATCTATAAATCTATAAATGTTCATAATTCTCACACACAGTACTTTCAAGTAAAAATTGTATTCTAAATATTCATGATTAACAAAACACGTCTATTGATATTATCGTGAATTTTAAATGCAAGTAAAATTAATCTAAAAATTACACCCTAAACTAATGTATAGCTTTGAATGAATCAACATGCAATATAGTTTACCAACATTGTGAAATTTATGTGTCATGCACAATTTTTAAATATATTATCAATATATTCGTATACATAAGATAATTTAAAAGTGCTATGAAAATATTAAAAAAAAATATGTATTTTGTAGATAAATGGATAAATAGAATATAGGTTAGTTTCTTGTATTTGATAAGAATCAGAGACCTATATATATGGAAGTAAATGGGGTTGACAGAAAAAAAGAATCAGGTAAATGAAAAGAATGAGGAAAATAGGGGACATGGAACGGTTTAAGGGAAAAAGAATGTGTATTTTTTTAATAATTCAAATACCAATATGGCCATATTTAAGGAAGGAAATTGGGGTGCGATAAAATAATTAATCAGGTAAAATAAATAGAATGAGAAAAAATAGGGTAGGTGGAACGATTTAAGGGGAAAGGGAGAAGAGTTTCCCGTTTTTAATTTTTTTTAATTAGACGGAAAGGGAGAAGGGTTTCCGTTTTTAATTTTTTAACTCTCCGTGTAGTTAATTAGGCGGGTTTTGATTGGAGGAAAGTAAGTGATGATGTGGCAATATGGGTGGATGGGGAATTTGAATCCGTGAGTAACAGTTGGAGAAAACGTTTAATATATTTTTTAGATAGCTTTCGATTTTATTAAAAGGTAAATATATATACAATATATTAGTCAAATCCTTAACGAGAGCCGCAAAATTGATCATATCAGGCCACTTATTTTAAACTAGTGATGACAATGGGTCGGATCGGGGCGAGGCGAGTACCTCAATACCCATGTCCCCTATTATGGGTCAGGGCGGGTAATACCCGTGCGAGTACAGGGCAGGGCCGGTCGACCCACTCTTATATGCAATTTGAAAAAAATATAAGCAAAACTTTACTTTTTACCATAAAACAAAGGGGAAAAAACTTCATGAATGAATATTAGTGATACTATAATGGGAGGGGAAAAAACTTCATGAATGAATGTTAATGATACTATAATGGGTAACTAAGTCTATTTAGTTGAAAGATCAAATCTAAATGGTTGAAGAAAAACCAAAATAGAAGATATATGAATGGATGGTAAAGAAATTGATCTAGAACGGCCAAGAACGGGGCGGGGCAGGGCGGGTCGGAAGTTGATACCCATGCCCTGCCCCACGCTACTACGGGTGGGGTTACCAGCACCATCAAGGGTCAGATCAGGTAATGTCCGGCGCGGCGGGTTCAAATTGCCATCACTATTTTAAACAAATTAATAGTGAAACTATTTTGAAGAAAATTTAATAGCCAAATTGTTAACTTTCCGTCCGATAAAATGAGAAATTTGCTTATGTAGCCAAGATCTCAACTCTCTTATTGTCTATGGCAACATTGTAGAATTGGTCGTTATTTCATAAGGATGTCAAGAACTCATGTCTACATGGTGACCTGGAGGAAGTTATCTACATGGAACGACCTCTAGGATATTCAGTTGGACGTGAGGAACATAGAGCGTGGTTTGATAAGTTCCATACCACCATTCTCAGCCTGCACAAAGTCTGAATGATCCTTCTCTATTCACTAAGATTTCTTCAACCAACATTGTGGTTTTATTGTTATACGTAAATGACATGATTATTACAGGATCAGACTTCAAAGGTATAAAACGACTCAAGGATGGTTGAAGTCTGCATTCAACATCAAAGACTTGGGCAAGCTTTCTTACCTCTTGGGATTGAAGGCAACCCGCAATTCCAAGGGCATTATATTAAGTCAACGTAAGTATATATTTGATTTATTAGGTGACTATAATTTTGATGATTGCAAACTGATCAAGACTCGTATGGAACTCAATATGATTCTATGTGATGATTCTAAAGAAAAACTCGAAGTTAGGTCTTAGTATTGAAGCATTGTGGGCAGTTTGATTTACTTGTCTGCTACTCGTCCAGATATCTTTTAAGAAGTATAGGTGGTCAGTTATGACAGATCCTCGTATTGATCACTTAGCTACAGTACATCGTATACTACGATATTTACAAGGAACCCAGAATTGCGGTATATTGTTTCCTTTGATAGGATCAGCTACTATCAGGGGATATTTAGACTCTTCAGGTTGTGTTGATAGATGTCGCTATACTTCAGGATGGTCTGTTTAGTTGGGTGAAGCTTACATATATTGGCCATGCAAAAAATAGGATAAGGTGTCTAAATCCTCAACCGAAGCAGAATATTGTGCTATGTCTGAAGTGGGTTCAGAAATGGTATGGTTTCATAGTCTCATGTTTGAATTGGGAATGTCGTGTCCCTTGCCGATGGAGCTGCATGTCGACAACATGCGGGCCATAAGGATTGCTATCAATCCTGTACTTCATGATCAGACAAAGCACATTAAAATTCATGTGCATTAAATACGTGATATGGTTCATGATGGGACTATCGTATGTCATCATCTACAGACAGAAAATAAAGTTGCGGATTTATTTATGAAGCCTTTCTCGACGAGTTGTCATTAGTGTTTGTTTGACAAATTGATGTTGAAGGTTCGACATAAATTTGGGGAGGCTATTAGTATATCATAATTTGTATTTATTAGTGCATCATGTATCTAGGCCCATACGTAGTCATAATGGCCCATGAAGCCTATGATGGGGTAGTAAGTGGAAGAAGAAACTTACCCTAGAGCGTTTGACTAAGTTATATAGAGGGAGGGAGCTAGGGATGTAAAACTTGCCACCATCACTATGACTTTTCACCATAATCTATGTAGTCGATATGCCTAAGTTGTAGTGGCTACCACCGTGAGATGGAAGGGGTTTCCATTGGTTAACATTGCCACACATTCCCATCTTCATGTTTGATGC